GATGCTGGATGTTGTGTTTGCTGAGACACAGGTTCTGACATAGTCACCTGACTTCCTATTAGTAGGGCCCTGTTAGCCTCTTAGTCCATTTTCATAGCTGTTCTGGTTCTAGAGGGAGTCTTCCTTTGGCATTTTCTCATAATATTTTACTCAAATAACTCAGTCTATAATATATCTAAGCTGTAGGAGGGGAAACCCTCAGCATACATTTCTAATAAGCAAGACCTTTAAAAACCACAGTGACATACCTATAAAACTAACATTTTAATAGAATAAGTTCCTGACTATAATAAAATCAGTAAATAAGAGCTACACAATTATATGTGGTTAATGATAGTTTTACATTTTATAATAATTGTTCCCTTTTTTATCAATTCTTTAAGAACCTGTTTTGAAATGTCGTCTACATTCTTGCGTTAGGACTTTTATTTATGTATTTCCTCTACTTTGTTTCCTGTAAACTCAGAGCTAAAGACTTAATCAGACATAGGTTTAATCACTGGTGGAGAGACTTCATAAAAGGTATTATGTACAACTTAATTGATCTTTCCTGGAAGTAAAGAGTAGATGATTAGCACAATTGGGCAAGACTGACCAGTTAATTCTGTTGTTTACTTCTCCATCACGAGAAGCTAATGTTTAAGCATTTCTTGATGTTCATAAACCCAGTAAGTGTTGCTAAATGATCATTTTTCTATTCTATCATACCTTCATCATTGTCTGAAATTGTCTTACAAAGAACTTCTCAATATTTGGGAACTCTAAAATATATTTGTATAAGAAAGACTTTTGGAGACTCTTTGTCCCCGATCACAGATTATTGGAGGACAGAACAGGCAGGGTGTCAAGGTGGGAGCATCTGCGAATGGCGATTCCTAGAAAAGGGGAAAAAAGGGAAGGGGGTGCGAGGAAGACACAGGAATCAGAGTTGGGTGCAAGTCTTCCTGCTCTGGTTTTAGCAGAGGTTTATTTTATACATTTCAAGCAAGCAGTGGGATAACATTAGCATATGAATTGGGCTGAGAGATCACTATCTTTTTTCTAAGAACAGTCTGGGTCATATTGACCTTTAGTTGAGATTATAACATTTTTAAAATCAGTCTATTAAGGCTAAAACAAGTATATAGACATACAAAATTTGACTATTATTATATTTACCACAGTAAAGATTAACCAAAATAAAGTCCCTAAAGCCATATCTTACTACTTACCGGCTTTCATTCTCATTGAGACATCCTGGGGGGGTAAAGTAAAGTGAGGGCAGAAAGAGGAAATTTCTTGTAAATCAAATTACAGGAAAGTAGTTGGAAAACTTGTTAGAAAGTTTAAGTGAATTTTCTTCAAGTCTAGACAGAAGAAAACTTAATTAGCTCTGAATAGGAGAGTTGGGTGAATTTTTTTATCTAAAGACTAGATAGTAGAGTTGAAGAACTAGGTAGAAGGCTTATGTGAATTCCTTTGAAGTCTAGACAGTAGAAAACCTGATTAGCTCTGAATAGTGGACTTGGGCGAATTTCCATATCTAAAGGCTAAAGAGTAGAAAATTTAACTAGTTTTTTTTTAGAAACTGAAGACTTTGTGAGATAGTAGAGTGATGAAATTTGGGTGTTCTCATCCATCTGGGCAGTAAGAGAATATGTTCCAGTATTATCTCAATATTGACTTTACAATAACAGCCAATAGCTTTTATTAATCAACCACTTGTCAAATCACTTTTGACTTCAAGAGGAATTTCTCACCCTGGTGCAGTGCTTGCTTTTCTGGGCCAAGTGCCTTATGAAGCTAAGGCAATCCATTTGTAAACTAAAGGTTGCTCAGAATACTTTGATATTACAATTACACAAAAAAGGGAGGTCATAACATAAGTTAGCATGAAAGTCTGATTTTTCAGAGCATTTCCCCTCCATCTGTATCGTGTCTGTCGATAGAGGTTGCATAGCTTGTGTCAAAAGGCTATGTTTACTGTGACTCAAAATAATGAATAGTTGCTTAACTATTTACTACTATGATGCTCCTTTAAAATGTCGTTGCAGTTTTAAATCTAAGATAGCAAGAAAAGATATCTCTTTCAACCAAGTGTCCAGGTACAGGACGCTACTGAAAGACTCCCACAATCCAGAGATACAGTTAAAGAACCCCTCGCACCTCTTAGTATCTACTCTGATACAGTGCATCTGAGAATCCCACATCATGATGGAAGGTGGGTAGAGAGAGGAGTAGTGTGTAGGAACACATATCTTTAAACTAGGTAGAGCCTAGTTAGGATGCTCCACATGGGCTTGGACTCCATCAAGAACAACAGACAAAGTGTTCTCTGCATTGCCACTCCTCTCTCCATCATGTGAAGGTCACAGTGAATAGGCTGCTGAATGCCATCAGAGGTTTGCCAAGTGGTCACATAAACCAGGCCTCCCTGACCTGTTCCCACAGCAACTGGCCTGCTATACTCTTGGCCCATACTACTGATAAAGAAAAAGCTATTTAATGAGCTGATTAACTTAAGGTAGCCAACAGGAGGCATGGAGGATGGAGTTCTAGCCACAGTAAGTAGGCACGAAAAGAATGTTAAAAGTATCCTAATTGGAAAGGAGGAAATAAATTCTACCACTACTTATCAATAGAATAACTACATACTATTTGCAACAACTTAAATGAAACGGTGATCAACAAAGCAATATAGTGCCACCCACAAAAGTGATATACAGAGAAGCAAATCTCCAATTTGCTTATCAGTTATCTTCTGTAAAGTGGCCATGATACCTAAATCAATATACAGGTTCAGTGCAATTCCAATCAAAATCCCAATGACATTATTCAGAGAAATACAACCCTTTCAAATCACAGGATATTTTTGGAGCTGAAAAAGACCCTGAATAGCTAAGATTCTTAAAAGAACAAAGATAGAGGTAACATGATTCCCAGCTATACCAATGATAAAAACAGATAAACAGAAAAGCATTGAGAGACCAGAAATAAACCCACACATGTATAGACAACTAAGTTACTAAAGAGGAAACATGAGGGTTCACTGGAGTATAGAAAGTATTTAATAACTGTCCTAATGCCTTACAAACATGGATTAAAGACTTGGACATGGCCCTCGTTGGTGGCGCAGTGGGTTAAAGCACAGCACTAAGAAGCTAAAGCCACTTCCGCATGAGTTCAATTCCAACCTGCCCCGGAGGTGACCACATGGCGTGGCAGACCTCTCCTGATCCTCCCGCTGCTCCCCTCAGCAGTGCACTTTGTTGATCTGCCTGTTCTTCTCCCCATTCTGTCTCTGGTGAAGCCTCTCGCTGTCCCTGAGCCTCTGGCCTGTACCCCAGTTCTGTATGCACAACTAAATCTTTAAAAAATTTTCTAAAAAAAAAAAAAAAAAACTTGGACTTAATAGAAGAAAATATAGGTTATCTGCTTTTAGACTTTATATTTAGAGATATTAGGGACTCCACTGTGACAACAAGTGAAACAAACAACAAATGGGACTGTATTAGATTAAACAGCTGTCCAGCAAAATCATCAAAACAAAGATTTCCCATTTTATAGGCTATTTTACACATGTAGACGAGCAACAAGGGGTTAATATCCAATTACAAAGAACTCACAAAACAGAAAATTGGATCAAAAAGTGGGCAGTGTATCTGAATAGATACTTCTCCAAAGAATATATATCGCACAACAGGCACATGAAAACATCTTCTCTTAAGGAAATACAAATCAAAATAACATGGGCCCTCCCTGATGGTGCAGTAGGTAAAAGTGCAGCATCATGAAGCTTGCGGTGGCCATTTCACCAAGAGTTCAAACTCTCCCCCCCACCCCGCAGGAAGGTGACCCACATGGCTTGGCAGACCTCTCCTGACCTGCCTACTACTCCTCTTTCTTATCAGTGTACTTCGTAGATCTGCCTGTTCGGCTCCCTGCTCTGCCTCTGAAGAATCGTCTCACCACTTCTGCACCTCTGGCCTGTACCCCAGTTCTGTATGCACAAATAAATTTTTAAAAAATGAGCTATCACCTCATATCTTGAAAATGACTATTGTTCAAAAGATGAAAAACTATTAGAGAAGGGAAATCCAAGTTTTTTTGGGGGGATGTAAATTGGTAGTCATTATGGAAAATAATGTAAGATCCTTCAAATGAATAAAAATAGAAGTTCCATATGATTCCATTATTTCTAGTACTTTGGGTATTCACTTAACAAATACAGAAACACTAAAGATTCAAAATGACTTGTGGATTACCCCTGTTTACTGCAGCATAGTTTACAATAACTAAGAACATAAACAACTTAAGTGCCAGCGGCAGATTGTTGATTAAAGGAGGTGTAGTAATGAGTGTGTGTATATATATATATATATATATATATATATATATTCTCATGTATGTGTAACATATACTAATTACTTAAAAAAGATGCAATTTATATTGTCATTTGCAGCAATATGGATGGATCTACAGTGCACTGAGCTTAGTGAAATCAGTCAGATGAATGTGGTGTAATTGCAATGTTAGTGGTAAACTTTACATTATACTAATATGTTGATTGACAGTGATGCATACCTTAAACTTACATAATGCATGACCTAGCTAGTTGTTCTGATCTTGGGGTCTTTTATCAGGGATTGGAGTTATGTTCAAATTGTCCTATCTTGGTAATAAAAACAACTTGAACCTGGCTTTGTTTATTCAATTTTATCTTAAGCTCATAACATAGTTAACTGAATATATATCCTCAAACATATTACTTCAAACATAAGCACATTATTTTGGACAAATTAATTTCACAATATTCCCTCACTGTGGTCATGTCTCTCCTAGACACCCCTACATCTGATGACTAACAGGATATTTTATAAAGATTTAGTCATTTTGTCCCAGTATAGGACTCTCTAAAGATAATTCAATAGTAAATGTTTTTATCCTTTCAAAATTTTATTATTTCATAATGAACTTTTTGTTAACAGTATTAATCTGAGTATATCTGTTTTTTATTTTAGAATGACATCAATTTCTGCTTCAGATGGTAAAAGAATTTTATAAATGCATATGGGACTAATTTCATCTGGAAGAACTCATGACATTTCTGCATCATATCTGCAAGCTGAGGACATGACTGCAAAGGTACATAATTTATCTTTCTCCCTATTATAAGTATTAGCTGTTCATAAAATTGTAATTTAATATAAAATACTTCTACAGCTTCAAATCTATCAACTTTGAATGTACTGATTTATTATAAAACATTTAATTCCTTGGAAAATTTAGCAGGCATATATATACTTTAAGTACACATAAGTGTAGATATATATACATATATATGTGTATATATATGTAATAGACACAAATATATACACACACACATACATGCCTAGCATGACACATACAATATACTGAACTAAAAAGAGAAAAATTTTTATAATGATAGATTCAAGGATATAGCAGCAAATGCTGAAGCTTTGTTTTATTTTTTTTGCCATTTGAACCCAACCAAAAAGAAAATTCCTGGGAAGTTTACAGATTCCCTCAGAAGACATCCACCAGTACTAAAGAGTTATGTTTGCTAACCAGAAGCAAGTGTACAAACAGCAGATATGTAGCTATATCTCTTGACAAAAACTGTAAGAACACATTGTAGATGATGAATTCAAACCAATGCCATTAACTTATTGTATTCATCTTTTGAGAATCTTACCTTCCTCACTCCTTTTTACCCTTGCACAGATACACTATTTCGAATGTATTTTCTATGTAGCATATTTCATCAGAACCCCATTTTCATTATTTATTGTTATAGTATAGCTAGTCCTTCCCACATATAGAATGCTTTCCAGTTCAAGAGTATTGTCTTCCTAAAAATGATAAAAATTATTTAAGAGCTTTGTGCATGTTGACTAAGAGCATGGCAGTTTGGTATTGCCTCTTATACCCTGAGCTATTTAAAGATTTTTTGACTCCCTATGAATCTTGTCATAAATACCAACAGTTTTTCTCATGTAATAGGTTTGATCACTGCTTAGATTCTGTTTATTTTTACTCATTTTCATCAAATCTGTTTTCTTACCTTGGGAACAGGATCCATTGTATAAATTTGAGACTTACTTCTGATGTTAACCCTTTTTTAAGTTCCAATACCTCAGCATTTTTACACTTGTTTTACTCACATCATTTTTGTTACTGAGTCAAATACTACCCCTCACTTTGATCCATCCAGACTCCATAATACAGATCTGATTAAAAAAAGATAATGAAGTCCACCACACCCAACCCTTAATATGATATTCTTCAACCTAACTGACAACACTGTCAATTAAGGAACTTTGTAACAATACTTACCCAAAGATCTAAATTTCATCAGTCACTAAATGTAATTTTATTGAAATGCTATTGCCTCTAAAACTTTAAAATTATAAACTTAGTGAATATTTTCTTTTACATATATTTTGGACTGAGGAAATATTTTTCAGCCAACAGTTGTTGAAAACTTCACTATGCACAGTAAGGTAAAGGAAGAGCAATAGAGAAGGAATCAAAATTTGAGTCAAATTTTGTCTTCAACCTCTAATATCCAAATTATCTTTAATACCACTATATATTTGGTATTATCCAGAACAAGTAGTCTTTCCTACATACCTCATAACAAAAGTCAAGTTTTCATTTTTCTGTACTCACTTTGTAAAATATAAAACACATTATGAATTTTAGCATTTTGTATGAAACACCAGAATTGGTGCTGTTGCCTAGCTAACTAGAATAATACATCTCTCTGCCACCATAGCATTTTTTGCTATCTCATTTCTTGAATAGGAAATTAAAAAGTACATAGGAGAAAGAAATTTAAATTAAGATTCTGTGAAAGTATTGCCAGGAATATTGAAAAATAAGTTTTGTGAAGCATACATGTCTTTCACCAATAAACATACTTTCTGAACCTAGTTGTCCCTATAAACCTTTGGGGATTTTTTTTTCAAATTATCATAAATCTTGAGTATTTTTGAAAAACAGCTCTATATGCACAATAATAGATTTAATGAGTTAATGAAAATTATTGTACTACATAATTTTATTATTTTCTGTAAGCCAAAAGAAACAATTTTGTAAGTCATTTCTCAGAATTTTTTCAGAACTGGAAAAAAATAGTAAAGTTATTTACAGAAAGCTTTTAAAGTCAATGAAAATAAATTAAATATACACTAGAAAGAAGAGCCAGATTCAATAGGGTAGTATTGGAAGTACCTGAACTCACCTCCCATAGACACAACAAATTTTAAACAGCATCTGGAATAATTACCTTTGAAAAAGATGTGAAAATAAGATCAATAGAATTTCTACAACAAAGGATAAAAGGTCAGTACCACGTAGGTAGGAGAAAGAGATGCTCTCATCAGGGAAGAAATTACTGCCCCCCCCCCACCTCATGTAGTGATTCATTATCAGAGTCCTTGGAGTTGTGGGACTTTTCTCTGGGGTTGGGTTGTGTACTGCCTCATACTCCTGATACCTTAGATACTGCAGAGTAGACACAAGCTGCAGGAGTGCCTGTCATTCAGGGCTGACAGGGAATGCCTCCCAATACCAAGAACTGTAGGAAATGAAAAACCAACCTTTCAAAGACCCACATATGAATACACACCTCAGGACCCAGTACAACAATACAGTGGGAAAAGGACTCACACTGATCATTCTTAGAGGTCTGCGACCCTGAGTTGCTGAGCAAACAAGAGAGTTGCACTACTTCTGTGACACAACCATGATCACAATCTCATTCTATGTCACATATGTAGTGATAGCCCCCAAATAGCTTGTTAGTTCATATAGGGACTCACTTTACATGCCTATGACTGCCAAGGGGACTGTGCTCTGTACCCCACAAGACATTCTGTACAGGCTAATGCTTTAAGACTGAGAAAGTGGATATGCCTAATACACAGAAACAAACATTTGTTGCATTTCCACATACAATAATCTCACTTGAATAATTTTAAGAGTAAGATATCTTAAAGTAAATTTAACCAAGGTGGTAAACACCTATCAAATGAAAACTATGACACTGTTGAAAGAAATTGAATATAACAATAAATAGTTATTATTTGCTTATGGATTGGCAGAATTAATGTTAATAAAATGGCCATTTTACCTAAAGCAATGAACAGATTCAGTGGGATTCCTATCAAAATCTCAGTAATGTTTTTCAAACAAGTAGAACAAAAACAAGAACATCCAAAGCAAACCTGAGTAAAAAGGAAAAATAGAGGTATCAAGTTCATAACTATAAACTATGAATCCAATGGTATTGAAGAGACACTTGGATCAGTGGGGCAAAACTGAAGCTCAAAATTAAAAAACAGGGCCCTTCCTGGTGCAGCAGGTTATAGCACAGCACTAAGAAGCTAAAGCCACTTAGCACAAGTTTGATCCCTGGCCCCAGAGGTGATCCACATGGCATAGCAGAACTCTCCTGACCCGCCCGCTGCTCCCCTCAGCAGTGTACTTCGTCAGTCGGCCTGTTCTGCTCTGTCTCTGGTGAATCTTCTCACTGCCCCTGTACCTCTGACCTGTACCCCGTTTTGTATGAATAAATCTTTAAACATAATTAAAACATATATGGACAACTAGTATGTATTATTTAATGGACCAATGAAATTTCTTCAGAAAATGTAAAAACTGGACAGCTACATGCAAGAGAATGAAACTAGTCCATTGTTTCATACCATACATAAATATGGATTAAAGACTTGAATGTAATACATGGAACTATAAAATACATAGAAGAAAAACCCGTGGGGATTACAATTGAGATGAAAAAAAAAATGTGCAAAATGATGTAAAAATAAACTTTTTAATAAAAAAAAATACATAGAAATCTTAGGTGGTAACCTCCTTGACATCAATCTTAGCAGTGTCTTTATGGATTTGACACAAAAAAGGAAACAAAAGCAAATATAGTCTTCTGCATAGCAAAAGACACCATCAAAAGGCAACTACTTTTTATAATGTGGAGTGCAAGGTTTGCAATATCTTAAGGGCTTAATATTTAAAATATAAATAAGACAGATTACGAAAAGATGTGAAGAACATCTATTCCTACAAATATCACAAGAGATCTATAAAAACATTTATCATCTTTTAGTAAGGAAGTACAAATGAAGACTATAAGATGTTGTTACACATATGTTAGAATAATTATTCTCAAGAGACAAACAGTAAGTTTTAGTAAGAATGTGGCAAAAGGAAATACTTAGATTTTTGATGGGAATGTAAATTGGTATAGCCACTAAAGAGAGACTTCAAGACATTAAGAATGCCATTTCTGGGCCCTCCCTGGTGGCGCAGGCAGCGGGTTAAAGCACTGCACTGAGAAGCTTAAGCCACTTCCGCATGAATTAGATCCCCGCCTGCCCCGGAGCAGATCCACATGGCGTGGCAGACCTCTCCTGACCCGTCCGTTGCTCCCCTCAGCAGTGTACTTCATAGATCTGCCTGTCTTGCTCCCCACTCTGTCCCTGGTGAATCCTCTCACCCTCCCGCATGTCTGGCCTGTACCCAAGTTCTGTATGAATAAATAAATCTTAAAAAACAAATAATGCTATTTCTGGTTATTTATCCAAATAATACTAAAACCTTAGTTTGAAGAAATACATGCATTCCTACGGTCATTGCAGCATTACTTACTATTCCCAAGATGTGGAAATAACACGTTTTTATAGATGAAGAAAATTAGAACACATAAGAATAGTGATTCTGCTACTAAAATAATGAAATTTGGCAACACGAAAAAGTCTAAAGGGCATAAGCTAAGTGAAATAAGCCAGAGAAACAAAAATACCTTATGATTTCACTCATGAGAAATAACTGGAGAAACAAAAGAACCAACCAAAAAGAAAATCTTAGATATAAGAACAGGTTGGTGGCTACCAGAATGGAAGGGGATCTGGCAGTTGGGAGTACATGTAAAGTGGTCAATTGTATGGTGATAAACCTCTTGATAAAATCGAGAGAGTTTATAAAATCAAGAGAGTTTGTAACACTATATACCTGAAACATGTTATGAACCAAAGTTACCTCATGCAAATGCATTTTTAAAAATCTACACTGGGGGAAAAATATCAACTATACTTCAAACTATTATTCCCCAAATTCTATGAAATTATACTATTGGTAAAGAAAAACAAATTCTGTTTGTTAATGGCATATTGCATTTAAAAGGTCATTAAATTTTAATCTGTAAAATTAAGTGTATAACTCAAGCTTTGAACAAAAGCCACATCTAGTCTCTCGCTCAGCAGAGACCATTATACTATGAAGCACACATTTTTCTTCATATTCTTACAGGACATAATCTGAAGTACCTTGCCTCTAACTCTTTACAGTTAATTTTTATAAATGGCTTTAATTAGGGGGAAGTGTTTCACAGTAGTAAGAATCTGGAAACTTGCCATAAACCAATAGAATTTTCCCTTATATGAATTTAAAAGAAGCACCCTGACACATTTCATACTGGTGTTGAAATGGCAAAAATACGAATGCAAGCAAGGGGATTATGTGGGATATATGCCAATAGATTTTGTCCCATGGACATACTTGTTCAAGAAGCAAAGTGAACAGAAAGAACATAAAAATCGCAAAGAAGAGAATCTTAATAAATTGATATTATCACTGAATTGGTTCCAGTTTGATTGTGAGATTTCTATACACTGTGCCTGATATTGCATATAAACACATTGCTAGATTTTCATGGAGGAAAAATAACCAGGACCAGCAAGATTGAAGGTGCTAATGTCAAGAAGGACCAGGTCTGGCGGTAAGAAAGTTGGGACAGCGATGTCAGATAGTTTACTGGAATGGAGTGCCGGACAAATATCCAAATATGAACAATCACAGGCTACAGACCAAAAGTCTGGAGTGTCTCTTACTAATACAGTTCAGAGCTCTTTACCTTCTACTTATCTCAGCTTCGCAGATACCTGCTGTTATAACTTATACAGGCCTTCAGAGATGAGGGGAAAATTTTGATGAACTCAAATTCAACAGTGAAAGGGCCAAAGAAGAATGCATTCTCATTGCTTAGAGGGAAAAAAATGGGCCTTTCAGAAGGTGTGTATTGCCTATATATTTTTTTACATATTAGATAGGATGATTTTAATATTAAACAAAATGGAAATTCCTTTATATATTACTCTTATATCCAGCACCTTTCTCACTGGTTTTCTACTTAAGCAATATAATCTATAAATGACAGCATGTCTATTAGCCTCGGATTTTTTTTTGTTGTCTTACTATAATGGCTAAGACCACATGTACATTAATGAAGACAAATGGTGACAAACATTTTTGTCCTCTTCCTGATACTAATGATAAAGAAAATGTTATTTATAATTGTTTTTAGGTTTTTGCTAGGTACTCTTTAGAAAAATTCCGTGTATTGCTGATTTGACAAATCTTTTCTATTAAATTTTATGAAACAGTTCTTGTATCTATTGAGGTGATGTTAATATAAAAATTAAATTATTTTATAACATTGAACCACTGTTCTATTTTAGGTACATCACAATCAATTTTGGTTTATCTTATCTATATTCCTGAAAGATTACATTAAAATTTCAACCCCCTTTTCAAACTATTGTTAAAATGTTAGCATCTTAAAGTAATATTTGGATTTTTGCTCTTTTGAAGAGCTAAGCACTACCACTAGAATAATTTAATGAACTGACAAAAATTTGTTCAGGCATTCTCCTGGTTACTCCAAAGTCTAGTTCCTGATTTTTTACCCTAATTTCATCCCTTACTTCTATAAATGTAGTATAACATACAGCAAAGAACTAACAAAAAAGTCTTTAAATTTGTAAAAAAAGTAAGACATAAGAATTTTATATAAGATGGAGTTAAAGGTTAAGTCCTTTGCTATGTTAATAAACTTATTTTGTTATATAAACTTCACAATTAAATATAATTGGAATTGATGAACAAGAGTAATACTAAGTTTGAAAACAGTTTCACTTATACATTTCTTATGCTATCCTTCATTCAACATTTGATTTCTTACAGTGTTAATAATTAATGAAATATACCTAGAACAATTTTTTTCTATGCATTACAATCATAAAGGAAACCTGTGTAGATTATCAGGGCTGCTCCGAGTCACTCTGACAAGTCTGACCTTTGAATGAATGTTGAGTGGCCCAGATCACAGGTAACTGTAGAGCAAGGATTAACAATGAATTTAACCAATGAAAAGTGTACTCTTCCTGGCTTGGACAATTCCAAAAGGAGTAGAGAGAATGAGTGAGAAATAGGAAGCAAGAATCATAGACATGATATTGTCAAAATTAATATGACAAAGTAATAATTACTTTGTTGATATGAGAAAATATTATTGAACATTACATGCTTTTTACTTTGTATGTCAATTTCAATCAGTGACTTAATTTTATACATCCAAAATATGTGCAAAGAGACTACCAATTACGAGATACTGTCAGAAATAAGATAAATAAGCAGCAGAGTTCCTGCTCTTAAGATACTATGTTAAGTGCTTCTTTCTTTTTCAATATAATGATATATTTCTATATCATTTTGTGCCTTTTTTCCGTCTCAGTTGTAATCCCCGTGGGCTTCCCATCACCAAATCACCCATGTGTCATTACCATAGTCCAGTGCACTTCTATCCCACCTCCCCACTTGTGATCCCATTCCCCACTTCACCCCCATAAAATGTCTCCGGTATATAGTTCATTATTATCATTTAACCCTATGAGTGAAACTATCCGGTATTTTTCTTTTTCTTTCTGGCTTATTTCACTAAGCATGATCAATTGTTTTTTTTTTTTTTTTAAGTTTTTAATGAGTAGCTATTTAAAAATTTTCTTTTATCTGGTACTATAGTCAATCAAATATAGCTAAATCATTACCTTCTAACTTCATTTTTTTCTAGAAATGCTCAAAGAGATACCATTCTACACCAGCCAGACTTCAGACTTTGGTCTCCTACCAAGATAATGAAGAACTGGAAAGAAATAGTACGAATTTCATTCTTTCTATAATATGAAAGTTTTCCCAAAATATGAACCTTACGACATCTTAAGCTAAACATTAGTTTCCATGACATTGCCCTCCACTGCTGCAAATAGCACTTTACATCTGACATTTCTCTTCCCCAACAGTGTATTCAGTTCTGGTCTCTTCATTTGCTACCCAGATATAATCAACAATTCAGTTCAGTGTGGTAATTCCACAATGAACTCTTTCTCAAAAACAGGGTAGAACAATAGTCTTCCTTGGATGTTTTTCATACCATCTTTAACCCTGAACTTTGCAATGATTCATTTACTAATAATGTAATAACCCTACTCTCAATGCAAACCTCCACTGCAAAGAGCTAAAAAGTAGACCTGTGCTCTCTGAGCTTTGTTAAAGGATTCCAGTTTTCTTATCAATATCTAGATAAGAGAATGCCACAAGATAGTTTTGCCCCATTTAAGATCCAGAATTAAAAGGCAAAAGCAAACCTCTAGAACTTAGTGTAATTAGTTGAATGCCTTACCTTCCCTCCTAGTAGTTTTCATATACCTCCATCAGAATCCTTCATATACTTCAAATCCCATTATACCCTTTCTCCTGAAAGAAGTCATCAGTACAAAAAGTGTACTCTTTCTCACACAACCCCACATTTGAATCTACCAGAGAAATTATGGTTCCTTCTTATTCCTTGATAATTTTAGTCCATTGTACATTGCTGTCATGTTTTCCAAAAATTCCCTTGTTTAAGTCTTGATTATTCCAATACTCAGATTATCTTTTACCATTGGCTCTTCTGCCTCTAATCTCCAATCTTTCTAGCTAGTGAAAGATTCAAATGTACATTTTGTTTTGGGAGTCATCAGGAAAATCTCCACATCCTAACACTTCTGTGAATTTTCCTTCCATTTCTTGTTCTAACTAAAAGTCATTTGTAACTATAGGCCTCACACATGGGCAATATTTACTTTTCAATACCTCTTCCTATCATGAGTCCTTGGATTGAGTGAATTGCTCCTCATTGCTGTTTGTAGAACACTCTTCCTCACACAACCCTAGATTTGAATCTACCAGAGAAAACATGGTTCTTTCTTATTCCTTGATAATTTTAGCGCATTGTACATTGCTGTCATGTTTTCCAACAACTCTCTTGTTTTAGTCTTGATTATTCCATTGTTTGTATACATAATCATCTTGTTCCTTGAATTTTTCTCTTATAAAAATTGTGTTCAGGCCCTCCCTGGTGGCGCAGCGGGTTAAAGCACAGCACTGAGAATCTAAAGCCGCTTCCTCATGAGTTCGATTCCCGCCTGCCCCGGAGGTGACTACATGGCGTGGCAGACCTCTCCTGACCCGCCCGCTGCTCCCCTCAGCAGTGTTCTTCGTCAATCTGCCTGTTTTGTTCCCCACTCTGTCTCTGGTGAAGCCTCTCGCCTCCCCTGAGCTTCTGGCCTGTACCCCAGTTCTGTATGTACAAATAAATAAATCTTTAAAAAAAAAAAATTGTGTTCATTCCGCCTGAGATGTTTATGGTCATACTTTTTGTAACTTAGGCATTATCAATTACTATATTCCTCCCAACTAGTAATTTCTAGTGTCTTAATTCTAGTACCTATTACTTCCTTCCCTTTCAATTTAATTTTATTGCTCAACTCCAATAAATAGACATATTTTATCAATATACACACACACTCATCCTAATTCTCATAGGCCACTAACATCCCACATGTCCTTCCTTGACTCCTCATTCACTGTAGACCTTCATTACAGTTATACCAACTTTATAATAGTGTCAGACTGAAACAGTTTTGACTGAATTTATTTCTCTCTATATCTAGCACCAATGCAATAAAACCTGACTAGAAAAAAACCACACAACTGTGACTGTGTTGTATAATTTCAAGACAAATAACTTCAAATGGATTCATAATTCTGCTCAGCAATTTTCCCACTTTGTACCAGTTTATTTACCATTATAAGGAAAAATCCACCTTATTTTCATTTCTTTAGATCACTAGGCTCTCCTGCCCACTTTACTTTTCAGTCAGTGGTATTTACTCTTCCATTTTAAAAAACACGCATCAGAAGAAAACATTCATAAGTTGCCATCATTATACCTACTCTACATGTTACTGTGGCCATAAAGATTAGCTTTAAAGTTAGGATTATGCTAATGTCATTTATTTTTACTCAGTTCCTACAAAAAGCAGCTCCTTTCCATACTTAGAAACAAACCTCCTCTTGTATACTACATTTCATCCTCAACAAACAAAAAATATAATCAACTATTTTCAAGCTACCAATTTATTTATCTTTTCAGTAAATGTCACAGGTATTATTTCAATTGGTCTCAAATTTTTCTCTGCCTGTTCTCTCAAACTTACAAGAAAATTTGTTTTCATGAATATCCTATCTGTCCCAAAACATTTCTCAACTGCACTTCCAGGGTGTCATCTGTTGGTTTTCATTCTGTTTCAATGGTTTCTCCTTCTTAGTCTCAACTGTTTGGAGTTTGCTCAAGATATTAATCTGTAGACCTCTTTATCCTACACTCAGGTACTTGATAATGTTACAAAGACTTATGTTTTGGAATTCATTTTTAAGCTGATGGCTTTCAGTTATATTTCCATCCTCGCTATATACCAGATGTATATAAACAAATGCATAGTAGATAACCTTCCTTGAATGGCTGATAGGCATTTTAAATTAATAAATTTGAGTTTTGGGACATTTTTATCTTTCCAGCTATCAAATCTGAGCTACCATTATTGCAATAACAGAAAATTGAAACATAATTTTATCTAGTTATCTGGATAATCCATGTTCTAACTTTAAAATACATCCAAATCCAGGGCCCTCCCTGGTAGCAGTGGGTAAAAGCACAGCACTAAGAAGTTAAAACCACTTCAGCATGAGTTTTATCCCTGCCCCAGATGGAGGTGACTCACATGGCACAGCAGACCTCTCCTGACATGCCTGCTACTCCCTTCAGCAGTGTACTTCATCGATCTGCCTGTTCTGCACCCCAGTCTGTCTCTGGTGAAGCCTCTTACTGCCCCTGCACCTCTGGTTTGTATCCCAGTTCTGTATGCATAAATAAAACTTTAAAAAATATATATATATGTATGTTTGTGTATATATATATGTGTGTGTGTGTGTGTATTTATATATATATATGTATGTATGTATATATATGTGTGTATATATATCCCAATCCAACCATTTCTCAGTATTGCTATTGTTACTCTAGATGCTCACTTTATCCAGATGGGATTATTTCAGTAACTCTTTATGTGCCTTCCCTGGTCTAGTGTCCCCTTTGCCCAACTACTGTCCATTTTTGCTGGAGTACCTAGAGTGACTAGCAAACCAGTAAGTTCATGCCTTCCTCTGCTCAGATTCAGAGATCAAGCCAATATTGCATAAATGATATCAGATAGCCTACCTATTGTGACACTATTTTAGTCATCTTGAATACCTTTGAGTCTGCTCTGTTCTTCGGTAATGACCTGAGATACCTGAAAGTTTCCTTTTCAAGGAATCTGTTAGGTCTCCCTGGCCAACAAGACACAGTGACACTCTTCCCACAGCCCAGCAGCACCTTGTTTCCTTAGTTTGTTTCTTTCATAATACTCACCAATATCTAATTACATGTTCTATTACATATCTTCTCCAACCCTCAGTGCAATATCAAGAAGAGCAGTAACTCCTGGCTTTATCATGTGCTCTATACAAGTTATCAAGGGCACAATAAATGAATAATACATCTCAATTATCAAATGATACAATCTAATACTAAAGCCTCATGTCAACTAGCCTCAAGTTATTTTTATTAGTAGTTTATAAACTCAGGTAGAGACTATAAAGTTTTTATAGTTTTCTTACATTCTCTGCAGTACTTTAATACTAATCAGTCAATGATGGGTTCATAAAATATTTTGTATAGATTAAAATATTCATTGTAACATGTATCCAAAACTCCAGGAAAATACAAGAAACTTTCTAATAATTATTTTTCTCTTTTAAACAAAGTAAGCTATGGAGTAATCACATTAGGACATCTTGAATTGTTAGTTCTTTCTCTGTTCTTTCATCCAGAGAACTTATCAATGAAATGTTGAAAAGAGTAACTAAAGCAAACAGCTAAAAGGCACCAGGACAAGACAGAACTGAAATTACTATTGCATAGTAGAGCTTTTGGATTTACTTTGAGGTATTGTTGTTTAATAAATGGGATAAACTGTGCTATCTGGAGCTCCTTTTGGTTAGAATATGCAGTTCAGATGAGACAATATGGACTTCAGAGGGCATTAACACATCACATGAATAGCTTTATACATATAATTTAAGCATTTAAGATTTTCACCTATGCTAATAGTATTAACAGTTTGAATAATACTACAGTCAAGTAAAAATAATTCTAGTATTTCCTTGATTTCAATGTAAAAGGAACTTTTGTTCCTTTTGTTGACTGTTCTTAAATTTAATGTACCCTTTATGAAATACTTTTTCTTTGTCTATAAATTTGGAAACAATTGGGCTTACTGTCTTACAGAGTTTAAATGATGCACAGTATAAGACAGTAGGAACTTTATTAAAGTTATCAAATTTTTAATAAATAAAATGCAGTGAGGCCCCCCGACTGAAGGGATGATTACCTGGAACTCTAGAACAAAAAGTCCTTAGCATCCTGCACCTCACTTTCTCCAAATTTTAAAAACCAGCAAAATATTCCTTTTTATCTAAATGGATTATTTGATCGGGGAGAATATTTTCTACTAAGCAAAATCAAAAAAGAAATTTTCAGAGAAAAACTTCAGTTTGTTTAAATATACTAACATCTAAGAATACCAAATGTTTTTAAAAGTTTAAAGCTGTTAAAATGACTCTTTGAACCTATTTACTGAGATGTTTAATTTTTTTTAACTGTATTGTGCTAGTTATATCTTCATTAGAGGTATTTATAAGGAAGCAGAAGGGGTTATAAAAAATAAATAGGTTACTGGTTACTTAAACTTTTCCCATTCAAAATGGACTGTATTTTGATTGTGTGGAATTAAACATGAATGGGTATGTTTTCAGCAGGGTGCAGGGGGAATTAGACAGAAAAAAAATTTCTTACATAATGGGTGTTTTGTGCTTGATTTCCTTCACAGTATGCTAAAAATGTAATCACCAAATGTGATAGAAAAAAATGCATGGAGTCTGCAATTTCTTCACAATCCTCCCTATCACACACACCCCCCCCCATACTTCCACATTTATTTTCTGATTGATGTTATTCACATGAAACATTTTCTCTCATGCTTTTTTCCCCCTCCCTGTCTCAAAGCAGCTGAAATTTAAAGAACTATTTTCTAAAATTATATAAAATATGATACTAGAAACTAATTAAAGTCTCAAAATAGCTTTCAGGCATTTGAATTTTACTGACTTACACTATACAAAAGCACAGTATTCACAGATTTCTAATCAGGCTTTGGGTATAGCAGGCAGAGAAAAGCCAGCCGACTTGCTATGGAGATGGGACTGACTCCTGAGAGAGGAAGAAGTAAACCACTCGCCCTCTTCAACTCTGCAAAATTCATTTTTAGGCTAAATATTGTGGTATATAATCTAGTTATATTTCACCTTTTTGGTCTAGCTTGCTTTCAGTGTCAGTGCCTCATATTCATCCAAATTATAGGTTCCTTTAATCTTGGAAACTACAAGGTAAGTTGAAAATAAAAACATTTATATTAGGCTGCATGTAGAAAGTTATAGAAAAAAAGTCTCTGCATAATATTTTTGGTTAACAAATACCAGGAACTCACTTTAGACTACCTAAAGCAAAAGAGGTAGATTGTAGAAAATATACTGTACTGTTTCTTATGACCACCATTTGAATGATAAAAGTTCTCAGGGGAAAAAAAAAAACTTAACTGGCCGGATACCCAAACCTGGTTCTATGGAAAGGACTACACAGAGAAAATAAGCACATGTTTTATTTCAATAGTTCAACATCCATTCCCTTTCTTAGAAAATTCCTATTCTCTTTCAATATCAACTTTCCTCCAAATTCTCAGTCTCATGCTTCCTAGAAAAGATGCGTTTAAAATCACTCTGCTTTAGCACCTTATCTCTCTGAACTTCAATTATCACGTTTCTAAATTGGAGTTAAAGATGCCTAACTCCCAAAGGTAAGACAGAAAACTAAGATGAGATAATATGTGAAAAAACAAACACCAGGCCCTCCCTGGCGGCGCAATGGTTTAGAACACAGCAGTGCAAGCTT